CTGAGACGCCGCCGGTTCTGCCTTCGCGCCGCGGGCGTCGTGGAGCCGCGGGTGTCGTGGAGCCGCCGGCAACTCCGGGCGCCTTGGGAGTGGGAGCGGCCGAGGCGGCTCCGGAGCGGAGGGCAGCGAGAACCCGCGGCCCGGGACCCTGCCCGTGGGTTCCAAGGGCCCGTGATCCCGGGGAATGGCGCCTCGTGACCTTGCCCCCACCCCCAATTTCGCCACCTCACCGTAACGGCAGGCACCTCAGCCTCTCCTGGAAACCGGCCCCTCTTCCCGCTTGGCACAGCGCGGGTTCCAAAGGCACCTTGGCGGTTCAGGACACCCTTCCCTCAGAGCTTCACAGGCCGGGCTTCCAGGCCCGTCTCCGCCGAGGCCTGTCCCATCCTGGCCTCAGTTTCCTTCTCCAAAGGAGGTGCACCCCTGCGGGCTCTGCGGGTTCCAAAGCAGCGGCCGGGCTGTGGTCCTTGGGCTCAGTAGGCGGAGTGTGTAGGAGGGTAGTGCGGGCAACTTGTGGACTTTGGAGTTTACCTCGACGTCAGTCTTCACTGATTCTCTAAGCTGTTAGCGCTGGTCAGCTGCCCCGTGGTTTCACAGTCGCTGACGTTCGGGCGCCTTCCTCGGGCTTTCTTCGCATTCGTCAGGCGGGCAGCGCCAAGCATACTGTTGAACCCACAGTAGATCCTCAACATTTGGAGACTCACTTTTTTTTTTAGGTGAACACTTGGTAGATTGGATGATAGGAAAACAGAAGCCTGAGTGAATGAGCCCTGGTATCCCTTCTGACGTAGTCTCCGGTTATTAAGGAGCTGACTAAACCAATTGCTTCAGCAAACACTGAACACCTGCTATTCACCAAGCGTTTCCAGGCCCTGGGGATTCAAAGTACGGCTATATTCCTTCCTATGAAGGCCAGCAACACCCGCCTGGCCGGTGTGGTGCAGTGACCAGCGCGTCGCCTGCAGACCAGCGCGCCCAGGGCTCCATTCCTGGTAAAGGGCACCTGCAGAGCCAGGGGCTTGCAGGAACCCCTTCTCTCTCACATCCTTGCGCTCTCTCGCACTCTCCCCCTGCCTCCCTCCTTTCCACTCTGAAAGCGATGGAAAAAATATCCTCAGGTGAGGGTTAACAACAACAAAAAAACAACGAGATTCTGAAGATAAAAATATTCATTCACTCATTCATCCAACCAATAGTTGCCAATCACTACTAAGGTTGTCAGACACTACTTTAGTGCTTGGGATGTGTCCGTGAACAGAAAGGGGTGGGGGGATACCCTTACCTCTTGGAGCTATCACCTGGTATGGGAGAAAGATGATAAACATACCAGAAAATTATTTGGTAAGATAGAAGGTATTCAGTGCTATGGGAAAAAGTAGACCTGGCAGGGTAAGGGGTATGAAAACTGAGGGGGGGGGGTACTTTTTAATGTCTGCCATTTATTCATCAATAATACCTATATCTGTTCAACAAATACTTCAGCCCGGACCATGTGTTGGGTGCCAAAGTTCTGATCTGGTGGACTCCCCAGCTAGGGGAGACCACATGCCAAATGTTTTCTCATGTCTTCTCATTCAATGCCTTTACCAAGTCGCTGAGATAGAATTCCTATGCTCATCTGTACAGCTGATGAAACTGAGGCTCAGAAGAGTTAAAATTTTGAGCCTAGATTCAAACCCAATGTCTTCCAAGTCCAACTCCCTTTCCAGCTTCACCTCAACTGAGATCTCATTTTTGTTTTGTTACACCTCGCTTTTTTTCACGTAAACTCATGCATTAATCTAGGTGAATGGCCTTAGGCCTGCACTGGGGCAAAAGGGAGGGAGAAAGGAAAATACTTAGTGGAGAGAGGCGTATGTGGAGCGTAGTAATAGGGGTAGCAGAAAAAAATTAGTGGAAAAGAAATGAAGGTAGATTCGTAACATATCTTATTCCAATTCCAGTTTTATAGAATGGAGTTTAAATAGAGCCATCAGGAAGAGCCCAATTCATAAGGTGACTTTAATGAAAAACTTGAAAGAGGTGAGGGAGTGAGACATGCCATTGTCTGGAAAAGAGTGTCCCAGGCAGAAGTAACAGCTAGTGGAAAGACCCTGAGGCAAATGCATTCCTGGGCGCATTAGAAATAGTGAGAAGGCCAGGACAATTAGAGCAGGGTGAATAAGTGAGAGGAATGGGGAGAGAAGGTCAGAGAGTGGCGCCATTTTAAGGAACATGTCTAAAACAGCCACCTCAGAGCTTTTAACAGAGGAGTAATATCTGATTCATGCTTTCAAAAAATCACTCTGGCTACTGTGGGTGGACAGCGGTGGAAGCCAAAGGCTCCAGTATCCAGGTGCAGGATGATGGCTTAGGTCAGGCTGGAAGCAGTGAGTTGGATAAATTAAGATACAGTCTCTATACTTTAAGAACTCACGGTCTAACGGGAAACAAATAGATTACATAATTAATACAATATGGTAGGGAAAATAGTATCCCGTAGAAAAGGCCACCCTTGCCAGCTTTCCTGAGAAAGGGAAGAGCTCCCTCTTCTACCAAGTTCCCAAGGGAACTGGAAGTTGCTGGTTCTTTGCTGAACCTTGTTTTCTTCCCAACCCTTCAGTTCTCAAAGCTCACCATCCCTTGAGTGGGGCTATAGGCAGAAGGGTACTAAAAAACAACAGTGTGCATCACGTAACTAAGGAGATGGGCAAAGCTGAGATTATCCATATTTGTCAGAGGAAGAAACTGAGCCCAATAGTCACCAGGCTTTAACCTCAGACTGGGATCAAGGTCAACAAAGTCCCAAACCAGGAATCTCTGAATCACTTGAGTGGAGTCAGTCAGATGATGGAGTAAGAGAATAGAAAGACTCATGTTCCGACTTGCTCCAAGTCTGGAGATTTTTGGTTCCCATTCATCATCACCTCTTACAAATCCTGGGCAGCTCCTCACCTCTCATCTGTTTGGGATTCCAAGGTGCTTTTCTAAAGTGCTTGTTCCTATCCAGGGGTAGGTCTGGGGAGAGAACAGGGCTGGATAACTGCCAGAATGGGAATGGGAATCAGAAGTCTTTGGGAAGGAAAGAGGCACAAATCCCAGAGTGTCAAAGAGTGGAAGAACACCCTTCCCATCACCCCCAAAAAATAGTTGTAATGGTAATAGCAGCAGAGGGGGATTCTGGGACAGGGTGGGAGGAAGAGCTTAAAGCCCAGGTTGGAGAGGCAGGCCTGAGTTCAGCATGATGTTCCATAGCTTACTTCTTGTGTGCCTGCATCAAGTGATGCAGTTTCTCGTAGTCTCTGTTTCCTTGCCTATTAAATGGGAACCATAATCATAGCTACCTGGCAAAAGAGATCATACACAAGCTGTCATAAAATAAAGGCCCTCAAAGACAGTTATTATTTTGCACAAGGTCGAGTGTAGAAAAGAGTACTTTAGAAAAGAGTAGTTCACAGTCTTGGGAGATGGGAATGGGCTGGGAGGGAGGGTGTGGGGCAGGAGAGCCTTCAAAGAGAAGATGGTATCTAACTCAGGGGACAGATCCTTAAGAGAAATAGCTTGCTCAAAGCAATGAGATAGAGGTTTTATTGTTTTGTGGTGTTCGCAATCTTTTACCAGCCTCGTCTGGATTATAAATTCCCTGAAAGAAACTGCCCTGAGCTGGGCTGCAACAGCCCTACGAAAATCTTGCTTTGGCACTAGCTTGTATCAGCAGCAGGGTGTTCAATGCTTCACGTGACCCACAGCTGCTGACAAATGAGGCCTTTCCTGATCCTTTATTGTAAGAGGAAAGCAGAAAATTAGAAATGAATTTTATATGAGCCAAGACCTGCAAGAGGGAAAGAAAAACATGAGAAGGCACCTCCTATAATTCCCTGCCTTGGAGGAGCCTTCCAGATTCCCTGGATATCTTTATATTTTGCTTTATATTTCATGCATTAGCCTAAATTTTCCCCCCTAGTTCTGACAATGAATTTGCACTAGTGTACTTATACCACCTACCTTCCTCACCCTCCCCACCCCAATCCATTTTTCCTGTAACCACCTGGCTCAAACTTTGGCTTACCTCCACTCTCAGAATCAATTGAGCTAATTAAAAGCACAATGAAAGACACTAGGGCACCAAGACAGCTGAACAAACATTAACAAATGCTCAGGTTAAATACAGTATTTACATTATGCGCAAGCAAATGTAAAAGTAGGTTAAAGCTACGAGGTGGTCATCCCCATTTTAAAGTAGATGAAATTTGGGTGGTACTAGGAAGAGTAGGTTAAAGGATGTTCAAATAGAGGGGCATCAGGGGAAATCTTTTGGAATGACAGACTGAAAGGAACCAGGAAAGAGCAACCCAAAGAAACCCAAAGGAGCCTGAAATTCTGGTACAAACATGGTAGTTAAGAAACTTGTTTGATTTAAAGTTGTGAAGTTATTGACCTATCTCCTACCTAATGAGCTATATTAAAATGACTGCAGCCCGGCCGGGTGTGGCTCAGCAGTTGAGCATTGACCTAGGATCCAGGCAATCGGGGTTCGATTCCCGGTCAGGGCACGTGCCCGGGTTGCAGGCTGCAGTTGATCAATGACTCTCTCATCATTGATGTTTCTCTCTCTCTCCCTCTCCTTTCCTCTCTCTGAAATCAATAAAGATATTAAAAAAAAAAAAAAAATGACTGCAGTGCTGTAGGGAGAATGGTGAGGAACGGCTAATATTTCTTGTGTGTTCCTTGTGTGATTGGAAACATGATAGACCCTTTGTATGCATTTTCATTTAATCCTTAGAGCAAAGCTACAAGGTGGTCATCCCCATTTTAAAGAAGAGGAAACAGAGGCTTATAGTTTGAGAGTGGTAGAGTCAGGATTTGAACCCAGAGCTGTCTGGCTCTAAGCTCACCTTCAAAGTCCTACTAACCCATCAGTTTACATTGATATAAAAATTGTAACTTACTGGGTGCTCTTCACTGCAAGTGGGTGTATTTACATCCAAGTGCCACTTCAGAAAGCCTTTCAAACCTTGTCAGAGACACAGCTGAGGTTGGAATCTACACACACAAAGTCCCAAAGAATTCTCTTCATTTTTTTCTAAGTCTTTGTTGCATGAGTGGGCAAGGAGGCAAATCTCTTTGTTTTGCAACCGAAAAAGGGGGGTTGGGAGAGACCCTGTGGTCGACCATATGATTGTTTATAAACATTTACTGTGCCTCTCAGGGGCAGATTGTACTTCCCCATGCCACCAACAACAGGCTTGGTTATGTGACTTACAAATGAGATATGAGCAGCCGTGGGGGCCACTTCCAAGTAGAAGCTCTAAGAGTCAGTGTGCTTCATGATGTTTTCCTTTCCTGCTCTCCTGATGACCAGCAATATTCAAGATAGAAGCTAATCCACCTGCTTCTGTCCCAGAGTGAAGACAACATGCAATAAAGCCCCAGCTGACACACAGCACAAGTGAAAAAAACTACTTTTGCTGATTGGGCCATTGAGAACTGGGAATTGCTACCATAGTGTAACAGAGCCTCTGCTGACTGATGCAGACCCTTTCTGAATTTGTTTCTGTTGGTGATCCAGATTTATGGGGTCATCCCCAGGTAAAATAGGTTGCTTGGGAAGTATGAGATGTAGAAAATGGGATTATTAGTGCACTGTAGTGAAAGGCTTTAAAATATAGAATATGAAACGCAG